TGGGGTGCTGGACTCCCACATGGCCAACCAGGTTTGAGTCCTGGACCTGAGAGAGATAGAGAGAAGGATAGGTGAGAAATCCCCCCCTCCAGGTGTGTGGCCACACAGTGATCCCTTCTCCTCCATTTCTCCTCTTGATATATTCTCTCTCTCTGTCTCTCACTCTGTCCTTATCTGGTCAAATTAAAATAAATAAAGTTAAATTTAAAAATTATTATTTTAGAATTAGAGTTAGAATTTTTAAAAAAATTTTTGAGAGGTTTTTGCTATAGGGCGCATGTGCTCGCCAGACAGACAGAGAGAGACAGAGAGACAGAAAGTTAGAAGTCATCCCCCAGAGGGGATGGCCACGCCACAATCCCTTCTCCTCCATTCTCCCCTTGGGATCTTGGGCACGCACGCACACGCATCCGGCGTGAGTCTAAGCCACTAGGTCCGGGACTCGAACCGCAGTCGACTACGTGGGAGTCCAGTGACAGAGTCACTACGCCAACTGCTGGTCCCAGAATTTTTTTTTTTAATGGAGAGGTTTTTGCTATAGGGCATGTGCACTTGCCAGAGAGACAGAGATAGACAGAGAGACAGAAAGTGAGAAATCACCCCCCAGGGAGGATGGCCACGCCGCAATCCCTTCTCCATTCTCCTTCAGTCTCCTCTCGGGATCTTGGGCATGCATGCACACACGCCCAGCATGAGTTTAAGCCACCAGGTCTAGGATTTGAACTGTGGTCATCTACATGGGAGTTCAGCAACATAGTCATTACGACAACTGCTGGTCCTGAGTTAGAATTTTTTAAAAATAATTATTTTATTTAATTGTATTTACTTATTTATTTTAATTTGAACAGAGACGGACAGAGCTAGTGCAAAAAAAAGAGAGAAAATGAAAAAGCAAGCCAGGACTTGAACCGCAGTTGGCCATGTGGGAGTCCAACACCCTTAATTACCACACCACCTACTGGTCCCAGAATTGTTTTTTAAAGAATTATTTTATGGGACCAGCAGTTAGTGTAATGGCTATGTCACTGAACTCCCATGTAGCCGACTGCAGTTTGAGTCCTGG